CAGCATTTATTACTATTGTGGCATTCAGACTAAGAAAGGTGTGTGACAAATTTGAAGTACTAGGAAAGCACAGTATAAGTAGAAGAATTGCATTTAAAATGAGTTAGAAATGTGTTTGTGGCCATCTGGGGAAAGTTTGCAAGCTATCCTATGCAATCTGTACTCCATGTATAATACAACACGAAATCAGGACAGCTTACTGGCCATAACCCTGGTTCTGTGGTACAAATGAGTGGGCAGTATGGGGACAGCTGAGTATGGTGCACGATGAGATCACACTGGCAAGTTGTTCAGAAGGCTTAGGACCCTGCCCTCATTTTTCTACTTGGTGTTCACCTAAAGGCCCATCCTTATGAAATGTAGTGAAATTTTGGGGACATGGAAAGAGGGGAATTCTCCATGGAGAGGAAGTACAACCCTTAGGGAGATGAGAACCTGCCACAGAACAGAACAGTGTTGGTTTCATTATGCCTGATGAAGAAAAGGAAGGGGTGGTCAGCACGGAATGTTGGTTTACATGATGAGCCGAATAGCACTATGTTTATGGCTGTGGCTGCCGCAGCCTCAGTGCCTTCTTCATTCACCTCCATGACACTCTTGTGCACAACCTTGGACAGACACAGGTCTGTCTCAGTTGACATGGCAGAGAAGTCAGCCTGGCCCGGTTGAAAGGCATCGACCATTCCCAAACGCTGAAGCACAGACTTCATTTCATAATCCTCCTGCAGTTTAAATCTTGGAAGGAAAACTTCCACTTCAGTGTTCTGCAAAGAGGCTGCCTCAGTCCAGGCTATGAATTTCTCAAAAGTCAGGTTATTTTCCACCTGAAAGACCAGAATCACAGGTTCATATTCAGACTATTGTGGGTATCAATGGACACACAGACATTTCCATGAACATTCCTTGTTAACTGTCCACACAGGACCAGCAGTGCCTTCAGCTGCCCAGAAGCTTGTGAGAGATCTGACTTGCCCAGCACCCCACGTGCTATCCCATATATGATTTCCCTGCAGGAAGGCTGTGGCTGTCCCTCCTTATCCATCCACTAGCAAACCATGTTTATTTGTGAAAAGCATCTATGCCTAGTCAGTGGTGCTTTTCTAGTGGTATTTGTTGCTTTGAATGAGGCTTGGTCTTCACATGATAAACCATTGCTGGCAAGCCAAAGAGACTGGGCAAAGGAAGGGCTCTCAGTGTGAGACTCTCCAAGAGAAAGAATTCTGCCTAAGGTGGAATGAGGCACTGTTTTTGGAAATTCATCATCACAGGTAGGGACCTGGACAGAGGGAAAGCCCATGGGAGCTGCTCTGCTCCCAGTGACCCTTTAGGTCATCACAGTGCACTGCCACCATTGAGAGGATGGTTGACTCTCTTGCAATAGGGATCATA